CTAAAATAATCTCAGGTGAATAGATATTTAACTCTAAAAAATAATTTAAAAAGAGATATGAAATAGAAAGACGGGAGAATCTGAAGAATTATCTTGGATAGGGAGGCCTTCCTAGCTAAAACAAAACCCAAGAAGGAAAAACTTGCTAAATCTGACTACATTAAAATAAATTTGAGGGGCGCCTGGGTGGCTCAGTCGCTTAAGTGTCTGACTTTGGCTCAGGTCATGATCTCATGGTTTGTGGGTTCAAGCCCCGCGTCGGGCTCTGTGCTGACAGCTGTCTTCAGATTCTGTATCTCCCTCTCTCTCTGACCCTCCCCTGCTCATGCTCTCTCTCTCTCAAAAATAAATTAAAAAAAAAAATTAAAAAATTAAAATAAATTTGATAGCACACTGCTCCAAATAGGTTTGTGTATGTTTATACAAAAAGTAAATTACTGAGGTATCTCCATAAATGTTGAAATAATACTGACCACTGATTATTAGGTGATATTGACAATGTATAATTTACAGGAAGGTGTCAAAGATTTTACTTACTATTGAAGAGAATGAGACACTGAGAAGATAACTTTTAGCACCTACTGGATAGTAAGTCCTTGCTAGAACCAAGGCCAGGGAGCTGGCCTTAGAATTCCCAGGTTATTGTTCTAACTTTTAATGGCTGATTACTTTAATGAAGCATCTAACTTTAATATCATATGTAATTTTCATGTCTGAGAGTTTAGGTAATACATGTACACAATGAACAAACTTTCCGGCAGTGCTAATGGGCAGACTATGGAACTTGGAAGGCACCTTTCACTTTCACAACACATACCCCCATTCCTGTTCCTTTTCACTACTTAAAACATACCCACTACTTCCATTTCTTGTATCTCCTTCCAGAGGGAGTCCAGGTATAAATGAGCAGATACGTAAGTAGATACATCCACTGCTTAAAAACACAGGTAGACAGCATGTTTTACAAGCTGGTTTCTGTTTTTGTTGTAGGTTGGATTTTTATTTAGGAGATTAGGCCACATCCATCCACATATATATCTTTATATATGGAGCCCATTCTTTATACTTTCTTGATAGCTTTCATTGTATGGATAGGTTATACTTTTCTAAAACAATACCCCATTGAAGGACATTTACATTGTTTGCAGTCTTTTGCTTTCCTAAACAATACTGAACTTAGTATCTTTGGACATACACATTTGCCCACTTGTGCAAAACTTCTAGAAATACAAATTTGCATTTTAAATTTGTATAGATAGTGCCAAATTTTTCTCCAAATGATGCTCACTATGTTTAGCAAATTTTAAAACATGGCTCTGTTTGTTCCTCTCTCCTCAGCTAATTTTTTTGTATGTTTCTAAACAAGTTTCTTTAAGTATTAAAAACCCCTAATAGTAATAGAAAATAATGACCCCATTAAAAACAGAAGTGTCAACAGAGTCACAGTCTATAAGCTTATCTGACTGCCAGTGATGTGTTGACATACATTAGCTTATACAAATTCTATACAAAAGGCAGCTAAGTGTGCACTATTTAGTTGGCCAGCCTTGATATGACCCTCTTAGCTGTTGTAATATTATCCAACTAATGGTTCAGAGATGTTCCATCTGTACTGTCTGGTTATTAGCACACACTGTGAACCACACCACTGACATGCCACAGTAAAGTCTGTTCTGCTACAACATGTATAGCAGAGATGCAGTGCTTCCAACCCAACCCCCCCCACCCCCCCACCCCCGGCAAAGGCACTCAAATCTCTTTAGCATTTTTGTGTGGGGTGCTTTCATTTGCAACAGGGCACCTATCTGTCTTTGTCAGAGGGCTATCAGCAGGTTGCTAAAGTCCTGGAAAGCTGGAAGTACCTGGGAATGTCTTCCCTACCCCCTTCCAGCCATCACCAATGGCCAATAGATACTGAGCTATTAATACTCCAGTTACCATGGCTCTGACCAGGCTCTCCAGGGTTACCCTATAGACTGAGCCAAAGTGACCCCCTTGAAACTTTGCTTGATACTCCCTTACTTGGTTTCATTACAGTCCACTCTCCTCCTGGTTTTATCTATGGATGCTTCCTAATAAATCACCTTTATATGAATCTTTTTCTCAGGTTTGCTTCTAAAAACCCAAGCTATTGCTTCTTAGTCTTTTGGCTAAGATCAAGTGTAGTATATGTTCTTACCAGTTTAAGAAACCCAAGCTAAAACAATGTGTTTTTTCTTTTATGAAAAGTAGCTCATATGATTAGTAGCTCATATGATTTGGCTTATAAGTGATTTTTTCCAGCATATTAATGTTTTGAAAAGTGATCAGGGTCCAGCTTTCTCATAATTTAAGAGAAAACTTTAATATTATATAAAGACATCAAGAAAAAACATGAATATACCTCCAGCAATACAAAAATACATATGCACAAGTTTATTTACTGTAGCACTGTTAGAAATTGCAAAATACTGAACCACCTAAATATCCATTCATAGGAGAATAGCTGAATAAACTATCATGCTTCCCTATAATGGAGCACTGTGCAGGTATGGAAAAAATGAGAAGGAACTCTGTGAACTGATACAGAGTGATTTCCAGGACATAATCCTAAACGAAAAACAGCAAAGCCCAAAAGGGTATTTATATGATGCTATCCTTTATGTGAGAAAGGAGAGGGTTTAAGAAAATACCCAAAAATGTATTCATTTGCGCAAGAGAACTACAGGAAAGATAAACCAGAAACTAAAGAGACTGATTACGTGCAGAGGTGAGTGGGGAAGAGACTGGGTGAGAAAGGCTATGGGCAAGAAAAACAAAGACAACTGTGGCACATCTTGTGGTACCAGAAAGTAAGGAAGCGCTCAAAAATATAGGGATCTGTCAAAAGAGGATAGGAGTTATTCTGAAGGAGAGCCTTCTGGCCAAAGCTGGAACAATTTGAGCACAAACCTAAATAATGATAATACTGAATTTTTTTTTATGTTTTTTTTTTTTATTTCTAGAAGAGAGAGAGAGAGAGAGACAGCGTGAGCAGGGGAGGGTCAGAGAGAGAAGGAGTCACAGACTGAAGCAGGCTCCAGGCTCTGAGCTGGCAGTCAGCACAGAGCCCGACGTGGGGCTCGAACCCACGAACCGCGAGATCATGACCTAAGCAAAAGTCGGACGCTTAACCAACTAAGCCACCCAGGCGCCCCTCAATAATACTGAATTTAACCCATAAAGCATTTTAAAGTCTGCAATGATATAAAAATATTTGAAAAATAAGTAAATGTGGGAGAAGGGACAATTCTTGCTTTAAGTAAAATTCCAGTTAATAAATATGGAAGAAAGAGGGAAATAGAAAATCACTCTTAGGCAAACACCACAGTAATAACTATTGCAGGCAAATCTACCCATGGATAATAAAATTAGAGAGCCAAAGTTTAAAGAGGGGCAGGGTTTTTATAGCTACAAAATATCACCCCCAAATAATTTATAAACTCAAAATAATGACAGCAACTTACAATGCAGAAACTTGGCAGACATCACCTTAACCAGGTGACCAAGGTCAACATCACCAACAATAAGACATATTGACATGACATTCTTGATATGATGCACCCAAAGGGATACAACATCAGTCCTGTATTATGTTTGCCAAAAATGCATGGTTTCATTCCAATTGTGCAATATATATCAGACAAATCTAAACTGAGAGACAAAATGTACAAAGTAACAGACCAGTGTTCACTGAAAGTGTCAAGGTCATGAAAGACCAGAAAGACTGAGAAAATGTAAAGACTGGATGAGACTAGGGGCACTGGGTGGCTCAGTCGGTTAACTATCCTACTCTTGATCTCATCTCAGAGTATAATCTTGGGGCTTATGAGATGAGCCCCACATCAGGCTCTGCATTGAGAGCATAGAACCTGCTTAGGATTCTCTCTCTCCCCCTCTCTGTGCCCCTCTACCCCACTTTCTCAAAATAAATAAATAAAAAAACAAACAAACAAAAAGACTGGATAAGACTAGGGAGAAACAACTAAATGTAATACAGTAATATGGGACCCTAGACAGAATCCTAGGACAGAGAAAGAATATCAATGGGTAACCCGGGGAAAATCAAGTAAGGTCTGTTCCTTCATCAGTAATATTGTACCAATGTTAATTTTCTGGCATTGCTAAATAATTATACTATGGTTATGTAAGGTGTTAACATTAGGGAAAGTTAAGTGAAGAGTGTACATGAGCTCTTTGAAATTTTTCTGTAAGTCTAAAATTAGTTTCAAATGAAAAATTAAGAATCCAAAAATTCTACAATACTACCTTTCTTTTGTGTGAATATACCTGTTTTAGTGGCTTTAACTACATGTTCATCCACGTTGAGCTATTTCAGGGAATCTGAGCAGGCAGGCTCTACTCTGTCTATGTACGTGTTACTTACGTATATAGCTCTGCAAATAAAAGCAGTCCTTAATGACAGACCTGCAGACTGCTCCCCTTCATTTGCTTTTAACTCTCATCAACTAAGATAATGCTTACTGTGATTTTCCTTTTTTTAGTCATAACTAGAATGGGCTTCATATAATGGTTTCCACTAGGCTATAACTCTGATGAAACTGACCTACTTTAAAAATTCACCATTTTAGGGGCACCTCAGTGGCTCAGTTGGTTAAGCGTCCGACTTTGGCTCAAATCATGATTTCACGGTCCATGGGCTCAAGCCACACGTCAGGCTCTGTGCTGACAGCTCGAAGCCTGGAGCCTGGTTTGGATTCTGTGTCTCCCTCTCTCTCTCTGTTCCTTCCCTGCTCACACACTCTCTCAAAAATAAATCAAGATTAAAATAACTCACCATTTTAGAGTCCTAAGAGACAAACAAATGCCTCAGTTTGGGACTATGAGTACCTGGCTTATTTTTCATGCTCAAGAACAGAACAAGAAATGGGAGAGTGAAAACCTCAAAGCAGCCATTGTTATATTCTTTCATATTCATTAAACATAATAATCTTTCCTATTTTAAAGGGCTATTTCCTTACTTTGAATATGCTGGAGAAACCCAATATGGGTTGTCTTCGGCAGCTTTAGCATGCCTCAAGATGGCTTCCCGGGGATTGCTGTCATCAGTTTTGTCCAAAGCAATGTTCTTCACAATGTATGATGACAGAGTGCCCCCATGGGTTCCAACCCGGCCACCACGACCTGTTTCACAGGAAAAAAACCCAATCAGAAATGGAATGAGCTTGACAGTATATATGTATACCTTGTATGCACTGTACTTATCTGAAAAGGCTGAGAATTCTTCAGTCCTGGCTTCCAACATGGCTGGTTAAATGAGTAACAGAGTGAGGCCACAGCTTCACGCTTACCCGATTTTTGGCATTCCCTATGGAATCAAGGTTTTGAGCACTCTGGAGCTTCTTCAGACTTTGGTTTGAGGCGCACAGATTTCAAGAGTACTTCAGTATCATCCTTGCAGCTTTCACAAAGTAAGAAATCACCACATCTTAACTTCCCCATAACATTTTTAAATAGAAAGAGATGTTTTTTGATATGTCTTAGCTGCTTAATTTACATAATGATATCAATGCAGGAGGAATTACAAATATTTTGCCGTGAATATGCCTTAAAAACATTCCTCAGGCATGAACATTTGAAATTTAATTAATAAAAATAACCAGTATTTGTTAGACACTATTTTAGCTTTAAACAAACAGATCTTAGGACTTGCCATCTTCCAGTTACCTTGTAGAAGAGAAAATAAGTAAGTTGAATACACTGATTCACATTATTTTATGGTACTGGAACTTCTCTAGTAGACAGTAAGCTCATAAGGGCAGGGATTTGTTCTCCACTAGATCCTTAACAGCTAGCCTGGTGCCTGGTACCCAAAAATGTATGACATGTTAGGAAAAATTAAACAAACAAACGAAACAAAACAAAAATACATGAAGAGCCAAAAGCCAAGCTGTGCTAAAAGATTAATTCTATAAATCAAAGTAAGAGAAGACTAAATAAGGCAGGAAATAATTAATTGGGAAAGGATTTGTGTGGCCAGTAACTATTATGGTACTTGGAGGAAGGAGAGAGCTCTTCAGGCTGAGGTGGTTGGGGAGGTCTTTAGGAAGAGATGGATCCAATTTGGGAAAGCTCAGAAGGCAGAGGTCACTTTCAGTGTGCAGAATGGGTTAAGTACAAAAGTATAGCAAGAGGACAATTTAATGGGCATTCGTGAGCAGAAATGAACCAACAGTCAGTCATATCAGAAGATCAGGGCAGGAGAGAAGTGAGGTGGAATGCTAGAGTAGACTGCGGAGAACCTTGATTCTCTGCAAATGTAACCGGAAGTGGGAAGCTTATGAAATTTGGGGGCAGTAGCAACATGAACGTCAGAGGAGTTGGGGTGCCTGGGTGGCTCAGTTGGTTAGGCATCCGGCTTTGGCTCAGGTCATGATCTCACGGTTTCATGAGTTCTAGCCCCACATGGGACTCTGAACTCACAGCACAGAGGCTACTTGGGATTTTTCAGTCTCCCTCTCTCTCTCTCTGCCCCACTTCCACTCATGCTGTCTCTGTCTCTCTCAAATAAAGTTAAAAAAAAATTTAAAGAAAAAAAAGGAAGAAAAAAAGCCAGAGGAGCTGTAAATAAAAGCAGTGTATAAGATGCATGGAGGCAGGGTGGGGAGCAGAGAGAGACTGCCTTAAGATAAGGTGCCTAGTTAGAAAGGCTTTTCAATAATCCATGTAAGAATATTACCTGGGATCTTAGATTAGAACGGGCAGAGAAAATGACAAAAAAAAAAAAAAAGGTAAGAAAAAGATGTGAAATGTTTTTAAGGCTAAAGGTGCAGGCCAAACAGATGTAGGCCCACAGCTGAGGTTCAAGATAAATGAACAAGTCAAAAGCTAAAGGCTTAGGAGCTTAAAACAATGGAAACCACACAAGTGATAGCTAGTAAAATGGGATTCCAGTAAAGGTATGTGTTGCATGAGAGCCAATGCTGCCTTGTTTCCTTCTGATCCCTACTTTCGTAAAAACTCTAAGGACCTTTACTCATCTTGTAGGGGAATGGACAGCTCCATTGTATCAACACAGAGCTCAGTGATGGCAGCTTTTTGCCTTGTGTGAAACCTAATCCAGTCTGGATTCTAGTTAAAGTACCCAAATGTCGTATATGAAGCCAATATTGAGAGCAGTGGTTTTATCACTGGGTTCTAGGAGCCCCAGAGTGTCACCACAGTCACCACAGCTCAAGTTAGAGAGCAAGCAGAGAGGGCTCCAGACTTCCTCTCCATTTTTATCAGTTTTATGCATCAGGATTCTGCATCAGATCGTTAAGCAAAAAGTTCTGATGATAAAAAGAAAATGTTTAAAAGCCAGCATGTAGTAAAATCTTTCTGAAGACAAAGCGGCATCCAGGCGCAAACCATCTTCCCAATTTTGTATCAGTGACCCCCGATGGGCCCCTCAACCCCCTCTGGAGATCACAAGTTAGATCAGAGTCACCTGGGCCCGCTACAGGAGGTTCAGGTTTATGAGACTTGAGGGGATCCAGTCTGTCCTTCTCCAGCTGTTTCCTTGTACTCCGTTGGCGGGGCTCACGGAACATGGGCAAGGCATGAGCTACAAGAAGTCACATTTGAAAAATTTTATTATAATAATAACCCTTCCATCCAAAAACATAGCTGACTCATGACTAACTAAAAGATGAAATGAAAGTCATAATGACAGCCTTCATCTAATAATAAAAGACAGTCTTACTGTAACCAATTAGCCAATTTTGTTTGAGACCAGACTCACTGTTCACCTCTGCTGGCAACTAATGGCACTCAGGAAATACTGTCAAATACTGTCACGGAAACACTGGTGAGGCTCCCCATCTCCAAAGCAATGATTATCGCATCTCCCATGCGATAAAGAATAAACTTAATTTCTATGGTTTTGAAAAGAAACACTTAGGGGCTCCTGGGTGGCTTAGTCGGTTAAGCGTCCGACTTTCGCTTAGGTCATGATCTCGCGGTTCGTGGGTTCGAGCCCCGCGTCGGGCTCTGTGCTGACTGCCAGCTCAGAGCCTGGAGCCTGTTTCAGTCTGTGACTCCCTCTCTCTCTGACCCTCCCCTGCTCACGCTGTCTCTCTCTCTCCTAGAAATAAATAAAAAAAACATTTAAAAAAAAAAATTTTTTTTGAAAAGAAACACTTAATGGGACTGCTTATTTTTTCTTATAGGACCCAAATGTGAATAATGCCAACAGCTTGCCTGTCAGCCCTGAAGTTTCCTCAGATGCCTCATAAACACTGGAATCACTTCACACGTTTCTGAAATGTGACCACCTCTCAGGAGGAGTTGACAACACTGAGTAACCGGAAGGGAGGAGCACTTATCCCACTAAACTGGGATAAAGGTTGCCTTGAGTGCACAGAGGTGCCTGAATATCCTGGCACCGTGACTTGATGGTGACTTTTCCCTACTTTTATATGGTGGACAAAACAAAAGCACAAGAATCAAAGTAATATCTGCCCCATTGCTGTTGGTTGTTCATTCAATGTCAGAATTAAATTTCACAATATGAACTAGTATACGAATGTAAAAGGAAAACCGTGATATTCTGTGGGAGAGAAAGAGGGTTACTGGGGGAAAAGTTAAATAATGATCTTTTTCTTGACCAAAAAATATACCAGAATTATTTCTTTGGATCCTTACATGCTGAGTAAAACCTCTTTTAAAAGAGGAAACTTTTTTCCACGGGAGTGGGGGAAAGAAGGTAATGGATTAATAGGGGTTCAAAGGGCATTTATAATATGAATGACAGAAATGTCTAAAATACCTCAAAAATTCTAGTATCCCCCCTACCCCTACCACCAGCTGGGGCCAGGACCATCTCTTGTACTGGTAAAACATGCCTGCCTTGAGTCAGGGGAGCTGAGACACACAGCTACCCGTCACTCTGTTGGGCAATACGACATAACAGTATTTTTAGGAGGGGGAAAAATAGCTTTTCACTTCAAACGACTGGAGGAATTTAAGTAGGCCGCGTGTAATTACATGAGCTAGACTGGTTGTGACACCGACTTTAACACTTCTACTCTTGCAAAAAGTGTCATGGGATCTCTTGACTGATCGTAAGCTCCAAGGACTTGCTTGGTCTTACAGGAGACCCACCAGTAGAGAGAAAACCCAGCAGTACAGCGCCCCCTGGGCTTTAGACTGAGACCCTGGTAAAGTCCACAGGGCATCAGCTCATCACAACTGCTACTGCATCCAAGATGTCCTTCCTAGCCACTACTTGTGACAGATCTGAGGCTGTGGCTCTGAGAAAGACAAATCTGCCAGATTAACAAAGTTGTGTTGAGAAAACTGACAGAAGCTGCTTATTCTGGTAAGATTTCTGGTACCCAAGGTAGTTCATTTCGTATCTACAGGTCTCTGGATCTATCATATGGTCACAGAGTCTCAGAGGAAGCTGAAGGAGACCCTTTGCCTAGTCTCCTCACTCTCCTGGTAAAGTTCAGTTGTTCAGCATCATACTGCAAGTCAGTAGTAGAGCTGGACAAATCCAGGTCTCCTGATTCCAAGCCCAGCACTCTTTCTTGTTTATTCTTAGAACAGACTGTTATTCTTTAAAAGGCTGCTATGGAGTAATGCATTAGGCTCAAATAGGCTTTTCCCTTTTGGGTTGAAAGTTACATGAAATCACCCTGTCTCTGTGATGAGTCACAGAAGCTAAAGTGGTTAGCTGTTACATGACTCGCAGTTCTGTCCATATGATATTTTGTAATATATGCCTGGACTGTGAAAACTTTTTCTGTCTCTAAAGCCATGAGATCAATGCCACACTACACTGGGAGAAAGAGAGAGAGAGAGAGACTATGGAGAGACCATGCTAACAACTTACGGGTGATGATGTAGTCCTGGGTTAGAGTTTCGGCTTGTTTCGCCTTCCGCTGGGTTTTAACCACACATAATTTTGCTCCCCTGGGGGCGGGTAAGAGCATATTATTTTCTTTACTTGGTCTTATAAACAGAAAATCATGTCAAAAGCATTAGATACTTTCAGGAACACACTCTGTGCACACCATCTAGCCAAGTCCTTGACTTTCTAAGGGATGGCAACAGATGGGACCTTGGTGATAAGGGATCAAATTTATGGGAAAGCAAGTCTGTCAGTCAGTGGTTACTACTGAGTGAAAGGGTTGGAGAGGTAACCAGGCAACAGAACACTAGTTTAAAAAAACTATAGAAACAGCTTTGAAGATGTAAGTTAAAGAGAGAGAAATAAAATTAACTAATCTTTTCACCCTGAAGGTCACAAGGTTCAAATTTTAGTTTATGTCTCATATGAAAGCAACCTGGGTGGTCTATACCCCAAGTGGCATTCGTCCACATCTCAAATGTAAGAGTACAAGTGTCTGGAACTGAGTTGGCTTGGCAGTGTTATCACAGGGCTACCGCCCAAGAATGTTGTGGGGTTAACCAAAAGTTTGATTAGAACACTTCACTTTTTTTTTTTAGCAATACTGAGCTATCCCTCTCAGGAGGAGCAAATACAAATAAAAAAAATTTCTTAGAGATTCCAAACACAGAAACTTCCAAATGGGTGCTATCAAATGGGGCTCATCATTTTCTCAAATGGAACAGATTCTTTCTCTCATTCTAATTACATTATCATTTTCAATCCCTTTATTAAAAAACAAACAAAATCCTATTTGTTCTTAAACACAATAAAAACTTTACTTTACACAGCAAGGGTTCCAATGCTAGTGCACAAAGTTCCAAGGGAAGATGGGACTGTCTGCTTCTATTCCGATCGAAATTACAGCAATGAATATTCATTAACAGTGGATGGGTTTCCTTTCCTCAAAAAGGATGTGGGAACTCAAAATAGGTTTATGGGGGACCCCAAAGAATTTAGTGTATGAACTTTAATACTAGCTGACCAAGTCTCCCTCTAAAGAAAGAACTGATCAAGCATTGTACCTTAACAGAGACAAACAAAACCATCCATTTTGGGGGTGGTGACAAATGTCTGCCTTTGTGCCCAAAGAAAATGAAAATAATTGAGGAACTGGTTGAGCCCCCAGTGAAGTTTTCAGCCTTTTGAAACACAGGGGTATGTTTAAGTCTAGCATTTGGGGTGGGCATGGGGTTGAAGAGGAAAGAATTTGTGCTGTCCCTTTCTGCTGGCAAAGAACAACCCCACACATCCAAACTGCTACCTGATAAAAGCCCAAAGAGAAAGGGAACAAAACAGACTAGCTGTTTCCATTTCCTGTGAGTGGTGAGTTCCCTGCTTTGTTAATCCCCTACATGTATCACAGCTAATGCCATGTGCAGGGTGGTATGCAAAGTGGGCAGGACGTTTTCCCCCTTTGCACTCAACATTTCAGCTAAAGAACTGCAAATCCCCAGGAAACTTTCACTTTGAATTCTGTATGGATCAAGGGCAATATCCAAATCCTCTTTAAAGTACAATACCAGGAGTTTGAGGCTTTACTCTGTGCCAGCTGCATTTTCTAAAAGGGTGGATCCCCATCAAAGGGGGAAATAAATAAAAGCAGGGTGGGAAAAGAAACCCTCCCCCCAGTTGCTGTCATCCATCTAAAACAGGCAAGACTTATAAAATACCTCTGACTCTTGTTGGGGTCATAATAGACTTTAGCCAATCCATTTCCAGTTCCTACCATGATCTGGTTCAGCTTTGGATGCCACAGGCAGCGGACAACACTCTGAAAAAGAAAGGCATGGTAATCAGCTAAAGAAAGCCAAATAAAAATGGGAAAAATCCCACTTGTGCTTTGACGGCTAGAGCCAGTTTACTAAACTGAATATCCTCCTGATGGTTACCTGTAATTTTTAGGACATTTTCCTCTAAACTATAAGGCTGTGTCCTTGAGGTTCAGTTCTATTCCATCACTTGTTGTCTGTGTGATACCCTATGAAGATGAAAAAGATGTTCCTTCCGACACCCCTCCTCTCATCTCTTGACAACCTTGCAACCACAAGGTTAGGCTTCCCCAGCTACAGTGGCACGTGAGGCTGGCACCTTAGAATGCTGAACCCACATAACTCAGTTCTGCTCACCACTGAAGCATATTTAGATCTTGGCGTTTCATGCTTTTATACACATAATATGTCCCTCTGGACAGCAGATTGAAGCCAGGTGGTTATTGTTTTTAGTTCACAAAGATCCAAATCTCATAAAGCTTTTTCAGGAACAACACATATTTGCAGGCATTGAATAATATCTCCCTATCTATGAGATAAACCAGCAGGACAACAGCAGAAGTAAAACAGAGACACGGCATACAAAGATTTGACATTAACCTGAATGAAAAGCTATTTAAGAGAAGGTCCACTGGAAGTTATGCTCTTTTGAATTCATTACTGCTAAGGAAAATAAGTGGTACTCTGGGGTCAAAAAGAATGAGTTCTCAGTGAGAACTACAACCTGTTTTTAATTTTTGTCTGTAGTAAGGGCTGAGGTGGGAGGTTTAGCAGGGGGAAAGGATGAAAGGGGGGAAAGATGAAGCTAAAATTGGTAGGCAGAAACACCACGTACTAGGTTCTGTGGATCTCGTTCTGATAGAACAAGTAAGGAGTGGAAACATCAATTCAAGATTTATTTAGAACTGTCACGTGCCAAGCAATGCACAAGGACTAAGGAAAACTGGTACAATCAGAGACTGCTATTTTAGGTTCTAATAGTAAAATGAAAATCATGGCATCCTGGCCTCCCAAAGCTATGTCAGGCTGAATCCTTCTGGTTTCCTCTCCCTAACCATCCTGCTCCTTTGTTAAAACAGAGTATCTGTGAATCTCCTCAATCCCTTTTGATAGAAATCCTGGCTCCCACCTGCCTGGCAAAAAGTATGCACATAGTTATTCGGCTATGAATCCTTCTCTGAGATTCCTGAGGAACTTACAAGGAAATATAAGAGTTGCAGGACTTCTAATTCATGTCTGATAATACTTAAGAATGGTTCTTAAGCTCTGCACCACTGAGGACAGCTGAGATGGTCTGTTGATAAAATAAACTCAGAGTGGCTGTTTTTTCTTGGTGGTAGATGGTAAAATTAAGTTAAAAGGGTAGGTTTTTATGTCTTTAGATTTTCTTTCCACAATTTTTCTTAAATCTATGGTGACGGCTACTGAGTGTCCATTAGCAAGTGCTAAAAGATGATAAAACATACAATAGTGAGTATTAATTTAAAAAAACTTTGAAAATATTAAGTATATTATATATAGTTTGGCTTTTGAGGGAGGGTTGCCATTTGGTACACATGCTTGTGAAACCCACTTTATAATGTGTGACTGTAAAAGACACATTTTATCTAATAAAACTCTGCTTGGTTGGTAAGATGGAATTAAGTATATCAAAAGTTCATGGTCTTTACAAAGCACAGCCTGACTTACAGGTGCTCTGCCACTGAGATTAATTTGAGAACCACACCTTGACCACTGCAAATTTCCAGGTCATGACTAGGTGTAAGGACACATGAGAAAAGTCACAAACATAGCTTCACAGACACTACCAAGAAGTTGTTCATCCGAGTCAATACTCATCTCCTTCAAGTCACTCCTCATATGTCATCACGCCAAGACTTCCCCATTTAAAACTGTACCCCCCAGCTGTCCTTATTCTTTTTCATTTTTCTAAAATGTGTATCACCTTTTAACATAACATATAATTTATTGTTAATTATCCTTATTATCTGCCTCCCCAATGTGCACATCTGCACACAGGCAGAGGTCTTGGTGTGTTTCAGGTGCCAGTGTACCCCAAATGCTTAGATTAGTGTGTGGTGGTCAATAAACATTTGCTGAAGGAATGAATTAAAAGTTACAGTTCACCCAAGTTGCTTTGCTAAGTGGAGTTAGAGACAATTTTCAAGTTAAAATCATTACTACCTATCAAGAACAATTTTATTTCTCTAGATCATTATCATACTCAAGTATCCTACAAAGTAGGGTTCATTCCCTCCCAGTGTGGTCCTAAATAGAGGGATGTGCATGACCCATAGAGCGAGAGAAGATAATAAGAGGGGCTTTCAAGGGCCCTCTGACATCGCAGCCACCTAACAGATGGCTCTGGGACAGTCTTAAGGACATAGTATTAAAGTTATTTCTCTTCCTTGGTTCTCTAGAGGTCTGGCTAAGCAGTCTAAAATTACTGGTTCTCAAATATGTTTTCAAGTGAGCAGGGTGCAGAATTGGAGAAGATCCACAGTGTAGGCCTGGTAAATTCCAAGACACCCAGCCAAATAGGCAGTTTCCAGGGGCAGCAGGTTACCGTTACTCTCTCCCTCTATGCTGAGGGTGTAAATGTTAGAGAGGCAACTGCCCAGGCCAACAGACCAATGTCTGATTGCTTTCTAGGGAGTCCAAACTCAGGGCACTGTACCTCTATTCCTGTTCATGTCCTCTACACTCTGGAGCTCTGAGACACACATATGGCTGGTCAGTATAAATGCTCACGGAGAAGCACATTTACTCTCGTTTTCACATGGAAGCAGAGAGAATGCAAATAAGACTCGATGAACTAAACAGTCATTCCAGAGCTCCATCTACTGTGGCGATGAGTCACCAAAGGAGCCAATGAGAGCTCTGTGAGCAGTCTAACTTAGGCAAAGGATACTTAAGACTCAATTACCCTAAGACTGGTTATTAATCAAATACTACAGGGATTCCAAAACATGGAATGAAGAAACAGAATTCAAAGTCAAAGGTGGGTGGGCCTTTTCTGTTTATTAATATTTATTGTGTGTGTTTAGCTAACCTTTGTAAACTTTGCAGCTAATGCGGCTCCACACTTTGTCCTGTCAAGGAAATGCATCTTCGAGCAGAGAGCTGGCCACCTGCCAAACCAAACAATCCCTGAGACAGCGGCGGGGCTGGGGAGCAAGCCGAGCTGCCACGCTGCTAACTTGTCAAACATACATACCGGGCTTTACTTAACAACAATGGGACACGTGCCTGCTAGAAACCCAAGGAACTATCAGAAGACAGATGAGCTATAGCTACTTAGAGAGAGTGCATTCACTCAAGCAACCATCCACCCAAGACTTCCTCTGTCCTCTCTTCTTGAGGAGGTGCTTCTGTGGTTGGGGGTTGACAGATCGACAAGATTTCCTGAGCGATGCAGCAAACATAGGGTACAGAACATGTCTGAATGGAAGGACCAGAGAAGAACATGGCACGAGAGCTACAAGGATCCAAGGGAAAGCCTTAACACTGTACCATGAGATTCAAATGGTGGAAGACCACTGTAATCCAAAGAACTAGATTCTGAAATAGTCTGTGTCTTTTGATATACTGATTTGCTTAATTAAGTTGGTAAAGCATTTTATTCTTACACTAATCTACTTCATCCTACTAAAACAATGTGGGTTCACTAATGGCTTCCTCTAGCTGTGTAAGCTGAACTCCATTTTAGCATAAAATTAGGTATGGTCTTGTAAACCAAAGCCTACCTTCATTTTAGCATTATAATTTGGTAGTACAGAGTAACCACAATCTGCCCTAAAGGTACTTAGCTCTAGCAGCAGCAAGAAAGATACAGTAACTAGCGCTGGAGATCATAAGCAGGATGACAGGAAGGAGGTACAAGACTAATGTGCTAAACACAGAGATCGTTCTTCTCTGCAGAGGCCAAAGAAAAAAGAGGGTGGTGGGCTGGGGAGAAAAAGAGTACTGTGTACAAATAGCAGTATCAATATTCCAAAACAGAAATTTTGGAACTACCCCTTAGCAAAAATAAAAAGGCCACAAAAAAATTCCAAATAATTTATTTCTGTGGTTTTTCTGGTTTACTTTAAGTGAAATCATGGAAGCAAATAAAGACAGGAGAGGGAAACCAATGAGAGAAATGAATTTGTATTTTAGGACATGGTGGGAAGGGAACTACTAAGTATCTGGAACTTTATATTATTTAAAGGAATTGAAACCTTGCAACAATACTACAAAATTAGTAACGTCAGTCTCATTTTTCAAGAAGAAACGGAGGCTTGTAGGAGGTGTGTAACTTTCCAAAAGCCACATAACTTGTACAGAGAGGAGCTGGGATCAGTGGTGAGGTGTTCCAATGCTTGTTTCCTGATACCACTTAATTATGAAAAGTCCTATTTTAGAAGATGGGGAGGAAGGGGTGTGGGAGATTTGAAATCATTCCCAAACCCACCTAAGCCAGAAGTAGAAATCTTAGCAAGTTTATATTAAAAAGCAGATGGTATAACTAAAATCATAAAGGAAAAGGCCCACTATTACCCAGGTCATAAATGTTACTATAAAAGAAATCAATGCCTGTGTAATATCTGAGGCATCTGTAATGCACATATCTAAACACCACCCTTATTCTACTTTACATGCTAAAAGAAGCCTAACAACCTTCATAATTTTATATCTTCAACATGATTATGATGAAACACCATTTCCTGATCCTTCCCAGCTGCGGACCCACGCCATAAACCAAACTCCATCTGGTTTTTTCATGTTTGGTTTTTGTCACATAGTACACGAATGGATAAGCTAACTAGCGATCCTTTAGGAGAACAAGCACTTTTCAGAATTTTCAAATAAGGAGCCTTACACCTGTCTGTGAAGGAGACTGTCTGTTTTGCAGACCTTTACAGTGGCAGCCTCACAGTCATGGACATCCTCGGGAATACCCAGTGCATTTGAGTGGCTGCTTGCGTGCTGATTCCCAAGGCTAAGATCATAGATCAAGATA